TCAAAAAACACCCAAGTTGTTGTTTCTAATAAACTCTATTCCCTCTTAAGTACGGGCCCTGGTTTCTCTAATATACAATGCTCCCGTGAGGACCCCTATTATACAATGTGCGGTGCTTTTCCCACCAGCGAGTGTCCCCTATTGTACAATATTCCCAAATAGCTTATAATATACAATGTTCCAAAGCTAACTCATATACGGGACCACCCCGGCCTACTCCCATATCATATATTAGTGTAAGGTCCAGTTCGGATACTGTTACTGTATCTTGGGCAGGGCGTCCCCCACGCCAAGAGACCATTAGTAGGGCGTCCCTCACATCAGGCTGATGTGCGTAACAGTGGCCTACACCATTTGAAGGGGCAAGTGGACGGTCTGAAGGGTACAACCAGTATATTTTGTGGACGTCCAAACTCAGTTTAGTGATTGATAGGTGTGCATGTGGCTGTGGGCTTTGGGCACCATGTTAGGCGATACGACGCTTGAGGTGTCCCGGGTGTCAAAAAGAGCCCCGCAACATTGCAAAGTGCCACACCACAAAACGCCCACTGAGAAAGCGAGCTGGGGGTGGCAGCCAAAGGTACCATGCACCCTGGCTCAGAGTGGCAAGAGGGCCGGCGTAGCACCCACAAAGGCGCCGTTTCAATGACACGTCTGCTAGGCGGTTTGCCTTACGATTCCTTCAAGGCATCCCTTGAATCCGAGTCGAGGATGGCCACAAGCGCCCAAAGGATGCCAAGAAGGCGCCCGCTACATAACCAAAGCAAAACGCACGGGATAAGGAGGCTGCGAAGGCCCTAAAACCATAGCGCAACCTGGTGAAGGACACCCACAAGGTGCACACCATGGCGAGCCGCCGATGGCTCACCATCGGAGATCTGCCCATCAAAATCCATCGACACAGAGATGGTGGCGTCCGTTATGGAGTGGCCCCAAGAAGGGTTTGCCTGATGGAAAAGAGAAGCTTGGAGGGCCCACAACATGATGGCACATGCTGGAACGACATGGCGTTTGCTTGATGGTGGCCATAGCCACCCAAAGAGTGTACAGGACGTGACTGTAAAAGTGAAAATTCCAACACATGCCCAAGTCAAAAAGGTGTAGAATAGGGTTGGTTTGTAATGTGGTTGTGTGGTGCAGTGGTGTATGTACGTGCAATCTGTGCAAAGTTGCAATCTGTGGCTCCAAACTGGTATTTTGTTCAAGAATGCACAGAAAATATATGTGCTGATGGGCTGCAGTTGCGCACTACACAAAGTGGCGGGCTGTGACTGCCTAGAGAGAAGGCATCGAACACATTTCTGTGTGCTCAAACTGTAGTTTGGACAGTGAACGTTATGTAGTTAGCCCATGGTCCATTCACCCGGGCAATGACACCTTGGTTCTTGGGTGTTCAATCACAGCTGCCCCTTGATTTTGGTGGCCAGAACCGTATAATGGAAAAGACTTTCTTTAATGAACGGCCGTCACGAACACTGGGGTATTTTTGGAACAGCGGCGTCTGTTCAAAATGGCGGTGTAGAATGACAACTTGACAAATTGACTCAAATATTTGACACAACAAGCTGGACTCAAAGTACAACATTGTGACAAATATTGGTAAAATGCTGAGATGTTTCAGTGAATTTTCCAGGGCCATGGATCGTAACTGTTATTTAATTTGGGATGGAAGAAGTACATTTCTCCATGAAACACCGTATGGCACAATACCACTCAATAACTCCTTCCTCACCCTCACGATAAGGATTGATGTTGCTGAAGTGGGGTCTGTGTGATATTACAAGGGCTGGGCTTGCGTGCACTCTCGCCCAACTGCAGTTGGAGCCACGGAATGCGCCACCGATCGTCCGTGGAATATATCAGCCAGCGCGGTGCACGCAAACCAGGGCGCCGAGCGCACCAATGATGCGAAGGCCAGTGGCCACATAAAAACTCACACTTCATTCCCGAGCCGTCGCAAGCGGGGCTGCCACCACTGCTCCCCGATACGCCAATGGCCTGCTGCCAGGACGCATGTGCCCAAGGCCGCGTGGTGCCGACGTGGCTGCCATCGGCGGTCAACGGCCCAATGACGGTCTGTCGCGCAATGCGATCCCGTGCGATCTGCCACCCTGGCGCCCACGCCGCGCCTTTTCGGTTCGACTTCCCTGACGCCATGACACATTGACGATTCGGGCTCGAGGCATATTTTTGCGGGGGGCCGGCACGGGCCCAAGTGCGCGATACATAATCACGCTCTCGGACCCTTTCCAACGAATCGCCCGCCCCTGAGCGACCGTGCCCAGATCGGGCCGGCCCCAACCACCCACCCCCCACCCCGCAGGCTGCTCCTGGCACACCCGGGCCCCCCCCCTCCGCGCGGGGCCCGCGGTCTCACACCCCAGCCGGGTGGGTCCAGCATGGCCCCGCCGCAGCCGGCCAAGGGAGTTGGCCTCTCCCGGCAGTACGTGAACCTGCTCATCAGCCGCGGCGTGCTCACGCGCCAGTTCATGGTCCTGGTGGATCTGGAGGAGCGGCAGCACAACTGGGGCTTCGTCGCCGAGCTGGTGGACATGTACCTGAGCGAGTCCGCGACGAGGATACAGCAGATCAGCAGCCAGCTGCTGTCGCCGGCGCCCGACTTCGTGGAGCTGGAGCGCGTGTCCACCAAGTTCTCGGGCAGCAGCGCCACGTTTGGCGCGCGGGCGATCTGCGAGCTGCTGGCCGAGCTCACCGGGTGGGCTCGGGCGGGCGACCGGGAGCGCTGCGCGGGCGTCGTGGGGCAGCTGTGGGCGGAGATGCAGGCGCTGGAGCCCGTGCTGGCGCTGTTCGTGCACTTCGACGCCGTCAGGAGGGCGCCGATGCAGGCCGGCGAGGGCGGGCAGGAACGCGAGGCGGTGGCCGTGCAGGGCCTCTGAGGCGGCGGCCGGTTTGAAGGTGGGTCGCCACTGGCTGACTCGAGCCGCACGAGGCGCACTGGCTTGTCGCGAGCGCAGCCGCAGCGGGAGGGGCACACAAGAGAGATCGCTTTGCGAGGGATGTCTACACGTCGGCGGGGGTGGGCACGTTCCGGCGTTTGCTCGCGGTCCGGTGCGCAGATGTAGATGAGCAGATGTGCAGATGTTTGCGACCGCCCCGCACCGAGGCCGGCGAAACGGACGCCGGGAATTTATCCGCCCGCCCGGCGGGTGGGGAGTCGCATCGGCGGGGGTTGGGGCTCGAGGCGGGGGATGGGGAGGGTGGGGAACGTCGGCTGCGTTCGGGCCCGTGGGGTGAGCGTGGGGAAGCGCGAGGCACGGTCCTGGTTGCTGGACCCCGCCGTACGGTTGCCCTGTCGAGCGTCCTGGTCGCCCTGCGGATACGCGCTGATCCGCACCAATGGGCGTATCCTTTCTGATCACCACGTCACGCCCCGCTGGACGGCGATGTGGGGCCCGTTTCTGTCATGGCCTGTCTCGCCGGCCCCCCGCACCTGACGTACGATGCAGTAAGCGGTCCCAGTGGGGCAGCCACCCGGCGGATACTGTCAAATTGCGCTCGGCCATCCAGAAAACAAGAACTCTGGCGGCCTGGGATTGGGGAAGAGTGGCGCCCATGCGCTCGGTGCATATTCTGGGTGGCCAAGGTTGTGGCTCTATCTGCACATCGGAGGTATTCATATGTGTCAGCAGGGGTTCATGACAGAGCGCGGGATTCGTCAGAGCCCACTGGCACAAGAGCGTCTGTTACACGCAAATCCTACCTGTTGCAGCTCGTGTTGCACAGTTGAGAATTGGCGTCAGTGGTGCGCTGGGTTGGGAGCTGCCAATGCAGCCTTTGGTCTTTAGTCAGTGGCCCGGAAATGCTGCACTGAACGCGCTGCCGTTGGTTTGGCTCTGAAGAAGAGCTGCAGAGCGCTTGGCTCGCCTTTGCCCCGTGCTTGTTCACCAGTCACGATGTGGATCACCACAGGGCAGTGTTATGTAGCTGCCTGTTACATCCGGCCCAGAATTCGACTGTACTGATATGTATGGGACACTGCAGGGCCGAACTCGAGGCGAACACGACCTGGCATGTGCATGTGAACGCACTAGCGCCTTTGCTGACACGGTTCGCAGTCTTCCCGTTACCAGATGGTGCTACGTAGCGCCATTGTTCGTACACGAACAAGAACTCCAGAGAAATAGGACATGTTCGTTCAGCGTGCTCTGTGATCGCTGCTTGGATAGGACCAGACGATGGCCACAGCGATGGGCTCTTGATCAAGGCAGTGGCAGGATTCCTTGGCCGGCCACCTGGCATATTCTACTGTAGTTGTGTCGTATATTCAGCTGTTGTTACGTTTTTCAACAGGACCTGGCGTGCATGGATGGGTGGAGGAGCTGCTGGGCGCCCATTGTACATGGGCGCAACTGGAGAGCAGATGCTAACCATGGTCTCTTTGCTTCTAGGAATGGGTTTTTAGTGGAAGATTGGGTCATACACGATTGGCTGAGACTACCGTTCGGTGCTCAAAGAAGCTGGGACTTGTGTGAGAAGCCAGCCCCTGATAATTTCAGAGAGCCACTGTACAGCAACGAATGTCATTTGGAAAGTGAAGGGTATTTTATTTTTGATGTGTTTTGGCCAGTTAGGATGGCGTAGGCTGCCTCGAGATCCAGGCTTAGATTCTTTGGTCCTGGTGAGCCCAATGGTTCGACTATTGCTGGACCTGGTCTGAGTGCATGCAACTTTGAGAATAATATAGTAGTATTTGGCACGAGCTGCACGTACGCTCGAGTCATCGATGGGCATTCTCTTCAAGGCCGCATTCCTGAGGGGCATGACCAGGCAGCGTTCAATTCTGGAGGGAATCGGATTGTGTGAGGGGTGAACGATTTTTGTGCTCATCGGGAGGCTGAGGAAGAGGTGTGAAGCAGAAAATGATGTGCGCTGAAGACAGGATTGCAAGAAGTGATGAGCCTAGGTAATTTTGGTCTGATTGAGTATAGTCGCTTTTTGTGGGCACCCGGGAATCGAATTGGTACGCAGGCTTGTTGTCGATGGCGGATTTCCTTAACAAGATTTCCTTTCCTTACTATGCAAAAGTGAAAGAAATGGGTGGTGGCGATGAGCATGGGTACTTGGGGGGTGATGACGTCAGTGGGTGGGTAGCGGGCTACATCTCAGAACGCACGATTGAAAAACTGCACCGTAGAGGGTTTCAACCAGACGGGATACCAGATGAGCAGTTGGGAATGGGTGCCAGAGCGTGGAATTCGCACCAAGGCGCAAGGCAGGGGCTGCACAGACATCTGATGGGAGTGGATTGGTCGTTTGGCGTTTCTGTTGATATGGGACCCGGGGTGAGGTGGTGACTTTGTGGCAAGGGGGACTGTGTGTCTTGCCGAGCGGCTGGGTTTGTGGATGCAGTGCCTGCCTTGTGTGTGAGAATGTTGTGCACACGTTTGACATAGGCAGCTTGAGACTTGCTGTTTAGTCAGCGCTGACGTTGCCTTCTGGAAGGCAGCTGCAATCGATGTGCGCTTCGTTTCATGTCTTACCAGGTGTCTGGCTGGGTTGTGTCGGCATGCTTGGGTGAGTGTGTCAGTGGGCCGAATTTTGGGCTTGGACTCTCATTGTATGATGGATGTGTACATGGTTTATTGCAGACTTTTTGGCAGGAGTGTGGAGCTCAGCCAGCTTTTGCAACGTGCAGTGTTCAGATGCAGCAGCACATTGGGGATGGAGCGGTGAGCTGCAAGAGTTTGCAAGGGGAGGCTGCCCGAGGTTCTGTCACTCATCTAAAGAGGTCCTGGTTGCGCCTGGATGCTGCACCTACAGGCCCAAAACGAGGCTTGGAAATTTTGACGCTGGCGTGGCCTTCAAGTCGCCATTGAGTTTCTGAGGTCGTGGGAGAGAGCAGGAGTTCAAGTGGGGGAGATTACGTATCCGATGCCTGCTTGTACATTGTACGCCGGTGGGCCTTGTTGCTGTTTGACTGTGTGGCAGCGACATTTCCCACCCTTGATAGAGATCGACCCCTCGGAGGGCAGGGCAGCATAGTGTCATTTGGCTGTGTGTTTGAGCACACAATGGCTAACTGGCAGTCTGAGGGTCGCATGAACACCATAGAGCCACTGGAAGAGCGGTGTGAGCGCACGTGAAGGTGGCAAATTAGCGGGCTTGCAATGGCAGCTGGGCTGTCTGAATTTTGAACAAACAACGTTTTTGACGCTGCATCTTTTTGGCCTGGAGCATCCTTCGTTTGCTGTCCCGTGCAACTGCTTCAGGATGAAATTCGTGGTCGGCGCAACGACGTGCCTATTCACGCAAGGGTCGACCAACACCCACAAAGCCACATCTCGAGTATTCAACATGACTGTTGTATTCATCCTACCAAATGATGCCCTTGAATAAGGCCACCAGGGCCAATGCCGTGCCTTTCATGCCTGCGGCGAAGCTGGCGGCCAGGCCACGCTCCCCCAAGACGAAGTCTGGGTTGCGGATGGACACTGCCCCCCTGCGACCACACGGCACCCGATGCATGGACTCTGGCAATGTGTTGCAATTTTACACAGAAAAGGAAGCGTCTGGCCAATGCACTTGCTCATGGGGCTCACTCTTGTCCCCTGTCAATCGTGTCGCCTGCACGGCAGCGACCACAGCACGGAGCCAATCTGGCGGCTGGTTGGGTGGCTCCAGCCACTCCCCAGTTCACTACCAGCGGCCCTGCTCTCGTCCAGCTGCGCTCTCCACCCTCGCTGGCCTCGCCCACCTTTTGCTGTACAGTGCCATTCCACCTGCCCCTCAAGTAATTTACTCAAAACGTTTGGGTTCTATGACGTCGTCAATCTTCAAGATCATCTTGCACACCTGTGTTGCGAGGAATAGGCACTGCTTCTTCCCTATCAGCGTCTCAAATACTACTTGTCCCTTCATGTCGTTTGTGCCAACCTCATTGCAATCCACACCCAGCCAAGGATTCCCTGTTTCCACCTGCGCCTTTTTGATGGCAGTGACGCTGTCAATGGCTGGCAAGCCACTGTTTTCCGCCAGGGCCATTGGAATCGACTCCAGGGCGTCTGCAAACGCTCTCATGGCATACTGCTCCACACCGGCTATCTTGTCCGCCTCACTTGCCACAACCAGGGAGCAGGAGATTTCCGCCGCACCGCCACCGTACACAATGTGGTTATCCCGCACAAGGTTGCGGGCGACACACAGGGCATCATGGATGGAGCGTTTCGTCTCTTCCACAATCATCCGATTACCTCCTCGAACGAAAATAGTGACAGCTTTTGTGTTGGGACAGCCTTCAACTAACAGCATGCGGTCCTTGGTTGTTCCAAAGGCAACCTCCCTCACTTGTTTCGCGAATCCAAGCTTGTCAGGGGTGAGTTCAGAAAACCTGGCAGAACAGAAGTTGTCAGAACAAGGTCTGCTGGATGCAAACCACTCATTTGCTGCACCCATACTGTGCATGTCACAAAGAAACTCATAGAGGGAATTTGCAACCGTTGCAAGCCACTGTGTCCTTAGGCGCAGTGAGGCACAACACTGTGGTCGCATGTTCACTGTCACCACCAACGAAAGATGGTGAAGCATTGTTGGATTCTAACAAAATCCACCATGACAACTGAGAAATGATCCCAGGCACCAGAACCCCACAACGGCAAACAACTGCAGAGTACATCCGCTTCCCCTGCCAAGCACAATCCCTACCTGGGGACGATTCTTGCACCAGTGGCAACAGCCAGGAGTTCGATCTCAACGCCACCCACCCACCGAACTGCAGGCATATTCCTGTGCATTAGGAGGTGATTCGCCTCATCGTCAAAGCCCCACTGGCATATCACCAAACCAGCACCAGAATCCTTGCATTTCTGCACCATGTCAACAAAGTAGTCCTGCTCCTGACGTCGGAGCTCCTCGAATTTCTCAACGCTGTCAATGTTGACCTTATGCTTGGTCTTCGGCTTGGGAGGCTCAAATGGGCAAGTCAGGATGGCAATCTTCACGTCATTCAGCTCTTTGGGCATCTGAGGATGGCTGAAATCCTTGTCAATGATCAGGCCTTCCACAAGCCTAGCATCCTCCAGCTGTCCACCCACCTTTCCCACCACCTGCCAAAAACAATCATGCCAGCCAATATGCCATCAAGCATGCACCACAACGCACAGGACTCTTCCTAACGGCATTTAATTAAGTTGTTGTTGTTTGCGGTGGTCGTAGTCTATATCACTTAGTGCACCATACAAACCCAAAACACACAACTCAAGAGGGTGCCGTTGCTGCAGAATGGATGCAGCCTAAACACTGTCCTTCCTTAACTTGGCTGCTGATTGATGCTAGCTGATTCCTTTATGTGCCATGTACAACAAGTGTTTTCGTATAGTGTTACTCCGCAGAACTCCAACAGTGCTTGCTGTGGCTCAATCTGATTAGGCTGGTGTTCTTCCTGGGCAAAGACAAGGCAGTTCTCCACAAAAGAGGGCCGCATCCCAACTTGGACAAAAAGATCCCAAAGCACGATGGGCTACCTTGCTTGCAGCAGTGTATGCCACTTCAATGACAAACATCAGCATCGCCATTCACAGCAACGCCCCCAAGTCAAGTCAACTATTGGCACACAAGTTAGGCTTGCATGTGCCTCTGCCGCTGCTGCTGCCATCGCAGCAGCAACAGCGTTAAAGACTTTGTTAAACACACATGGTACTTTCAGGACAAGACACTATTGATGAATTTTCATGTGTTCGGTGGGACAATATCATGAAATTGTTGCACAACATGCAACAAACCAACAACAGCACATGGCTGTTCCCATACATTCTCATACTTTTTTGGCAGTCATGCTTTTGGAAAAGAAATGAACACCACACAGTAGTTCTCACTCGTCCAGGTTTTCAGCCCTATCGCCCGCACGAGGTGGGGCATCCAATTCAGCTCGAGAGTGCCACCTCACAGAGGCTGCTGCACACCTTGATAAGGTCCAGGTTCACGTCCCTCCTCTTGAGGTCAGCAACATCCAAGACCGCCTTCACGCACATTTCAGCCATGGCACGTTTGCATCGCCCAACACTGCATCGAAGGAAACAAACCTGTGATGGTGGCAATATAGCCTGCAGGATTTCAAGCAGCCTCATATCGCAGATGCCAGTCATAACCACCTGATAGGACATCTATTTAAAGCTTTGCTTTGCATCAAAACTCCAACTGTGCACAGTCCTGCTGGGTATGTTGAACGTGCAAACTCTGGGGAGTGTTGTGTGCCTGTCCTGTGCTGGTCAGCTCCCAAACATGTCTGCAGCCCTGAATCTTGTCCTGCACTAGGGGTCATCATTATTTCATCTCATTTCGTGTGGGTGTGCATCATGTTGTGCATCAGATTAAAGGAATACAACTGTGGAGCATCTGTGAGCACTGCTGTGTGGCTGCCCTTTGCACAATGAATATGGGACGTCTGAAAGAACAGCCAGGCTTCGCTCCTTGGGCCACTGTATGTTGCACAATGTGCCAGCAGCTGTCACGGACAGGGCTGCTGACAATGCTGCCAGCAACATGCCACAAAATGACAAACACTAGCAATACCACCCTATTAGAAAGCAAAACACGGATAAAAGGAATTGGAACATTGAACGTCACCAATGCTGTGAGTAGAACATGCAGCTGAATGTACAACAATGAGGCAATTGTTTCCGAAAGAAGCAACATCTGTGCCCTGCACAGCAGTAGCCCAATCCCCAAGTAGACATTGTACAAGTAAAAGGAGCAGTTCCAATAAGGCAGGAGCTCACATCTTTGATGACAGGGTTGTCATGCATGTTTGGATCAGCGGCTCACAGTTGTCCACACTGAATTCGAACTCCTCCGAGATTGCTTCAAGGTTCTTTGTTGCGACCTTGCATGCCATTTCATAGCCCTCTGCTATCCTCAGAGGATGCATGCCCATGTCCAGCAAGAACTCAGCTTTCTCTAGGAGTGCCCCAGCCAGCACAACGACGCCTGTTGTGCCATCACCAATCTCATGATCCTGTGACCTTGACAACTCCACCATGAGCTTGCCAATCTGGTTCTCTACCTCCATTTGCTCCAGGATCGTCGCCCCATCATTGGCTGCAGGCAAACGCAAGTGATCCAGCATCACACGAGTCGATGATACAGACAGTCCCTGCTCAATCTCTTGAGCTGTTGGCCCAAGAACCATTACACAGTGCAAAAGATCCAGAACTATTGTGCAGGCCAGCATTTCCTCTTATGGCAGCCTCCCTACCAGATCCAGATGAACAAGGAGCAAAAGGAGCACACCAGTAGAAAGTGCTGTTGCTTCACGACCTTATGTGGCTGAATTCTCCTCAATCAATTTAGTATCTTCATGCATATCTGTGCCACCTATAGTGTTCATGCACAACAGTATTGGAAACAAATACAAGTCTAACACAACCGTGGTGAGAGCAATGCTCTGGCACTGGCAGGGATTGTGCCCTGACAGCTTACTCATGACAACTAAAGAAGAACTGTTAAAGACATTCCAAGTTCCAATCGCCAACAACTGATGCCTTAGTCTATGACAGAAGCTGCTTTTCCAGCCATCGATCATACTGTCACTTACTCACTGTCACGTCTCCATCAGGTCCCTGCAGCATCTTGTCCATTCCCTTGGGTCCAAGGGACGACTGCATGATGCGGGCAACGCTCTTTGCCGCCAGTATGTTTGCCTTCTGGGCCTCAATGCCCTTTAGCCGTGCCTTCTGCTCCTGTTCCTGAGGAAAACAGCAGGAACACGGCACAAGGTGAACACAGCACTGCCACCCAAATATTGCTCATTCAATGCCCGGTGGATCTTAAGGTGCATGTGTGAAGCAACAACCAGGTAGATGTAACACGTGTTCTTCCCTCTTTAGGGCCAGGCCCCTGATATGAAAACCTTTCTTCTCTTCGAGTTTGTCCTAGTGTTAGCATCCTTGCAGAGCAGCATTCAGACATCACTCTGAATTCAGCAGCATTTGTTGTCTGATGGAGAGATGTGAAGTGCCAGGAACTGTGGCCCCTACAAATGTTCTTGCGCAGGTTGGCATGAGTGCTCTTCCTGTTCTGTGCTTGCACCACAAGGCCTTGGGTGCGCAGCCTGCTCTCCATCTTTTTGCTTTCAAGGACCATGGACCCCCCAAAGCAAGCCACCATAAACTCCACAGCATTTTCACAACCGTTAATACTTGGGTTCAGGAAATTGTGTTTGTGATGGAGAAGGACATTTGGTAAGCAAAGAGTCTTTGGGTGCTGAGATTGGAACTGGCATCAAGTGTCTTTCATGAACTTGCAATGCTGCACAATGGTTTGTCTCTCAAATACAATTGCAATTCAAGCAGCACTGTGTGCAGCACACAATATCCCCCAACCAAATCCTGATTTACAATAAGTGCACATCAGCATAAGAATTTATTCAACTGAATAGACATTTCTCCCAAAATAACTAACAGTTTAGTAGCCTAATCGTCAAAAATCTCAGCACTTCCAGCTGGGGGTGGATGCGGTTTGCACTCAAAAAGCAGTCATCTGGCCATCAAAATGACAATGTATATGTGCTTTTCAGGCACAAGTTATGGCCCTTGTTTGGTCAATTTCTATGGGCGCTGGGTGCTGAAAGGCGCAACAATCTTACAGCAAGTTGTATTATTGCAGCACAGACAGTCCCATACACAGGCTTGGTGATTGGCCTGGAACCAGCAGGACGGGGCATCCAAATGTAGCACAGGCGCGAAGCAATAATATAACAATCATAATAATAGTCAGTGCAATGGCACCACTGTCAGTGGATGATCGACGGGCAGGGTGGATATTGATTCACTGGGAAACAGCAAATGCAACAGGGACCGTTTCCCACTCTGCATACTTACTTTGAGGATGATGAAAGGCCTCCCGAACTCATCGAAGGCCAGAGACATTGTTGCCAAACTCACACTCTGCACACACAAGCAAGAACAGCGCAGCTGTCAGGATCTGTGTTGCTGGCTTTTAGAGCACGCACCGCTGGTCCTGCAATCACCAGAAACTGCTGTGTAAGTGCTGTCCACAAGCAACCGACAGCGCTCAGCCGCAGCTCGGCAGGGCTCAAAACAGGACAGCAGCAGGGAGGAGTCTGAAAAGAGGGAAGTGGCGCATCATCTTTCGAACAGAATTCACATTCTCCTAGATCTGGCGAAGAAAAGCCATCGGACTTTTGATCTACAATAACAGCACGGAGAGGAAGCCAGTTTCCAATCTACAACGACGCAACAGGCATCAAACCCCAATGAGGAGAGTCTGGAAACCATGTGCTTTGCTGGGTGCAGCGAAGCTTCGAGTCCCATTTTCACAATCGACATGTCAGCCCCACACCATCCAAGCTCTACACTACGCCCAGTAACATCAGTACCTCTGCAACACGATGCTTCCCACGAAATGGGCGAACGCCGGAGCACGCCCGAGCGACGCAGTGCCCACGAGTACGGCAACTCGGGACGGCGCCAAGTGCCCGTCCAGTTGCTTCTTTTGTGGGGAGGCGTAGATGAATGATAATGTACTTTGCTGAACATTTCGGCAGTTTGGGATTTCTGGCGTGGCTTGTTCTTAACTGGTTTGTTCCTTGGCATTTCCCAACAGCGTCGCCCAGTTTTAGGACTCGACGTCGCGTCGGGAAGGGCTGCAGGAGCCGGAGAACAGGCTTGTTTGCACTGGGGTGCAGAGGAAGGCATCCCCTTTTGTTGGGTGGCGCGATAGTTCGCAACTGCCGGACACATGTCATGAAGACATGACATGATTTCATGCCGCCAAGGACTTGTTAAATTCATTGAATGGGCAAGAAGCAGTTCAGCGGGATCCACGAGCTGATGTGATGGTGTTTGCAAAAGCATTTGTGTCGGCGTCCACAAATTGTGCAACACCTTTTGAGTCATGTCGACCAGTTGCATTCTATGAACATTAAAATTTGTCGGTTAACATCACAATGCGTCAAATAGCATAAATGTATCCACACATTGCAAAACAATCTGACTCTAACACAAGACAAGTCGCACAAAGAGTTGCGGTCTGTCGACACAAGTTGTGGCACACGGCTCCACACAGATTGATGATACCAAGATCATGGCCTCACCATGGCCACATGTCGGCTTCCCTTCGGGCCCCCGCCATCGCGAGGGGGCCTCCGATGCGCGTGGTGGTTAGCTGTTCGATGCTCCGCCTCCGCCGGGTCCGAATCGTCGGACTGCATGTGCTGGGCATGGCGCTCGTGGCGGTATGCTCGGGGACAGGCGGGCTCGCGGGCTCCGCCGGCCAGGTCGGCCGAGGTCGCGGGGTCGGGTCGCGGGCGCAGTTTGCTTGCGCGAGAAAGGAATATTACTACACCGTACTCACCACATAAGTACAGTGGTAAGCTCGCGGGCCACCGGTGCAGAAAGAATCCGTGTTATGGCACCCACACCGGTGCCTTAGTGTATTGTCACTGTACCCATATACTCCATATTCTAGTAATAAATGTCCTGACTGCTCATAATCTGATAATCACTCCCCCTCTAAGTATTTTCGTCCCGAAAATCAAATCATGAATCACCACTCAATCCACTCGTGTCCTCTATTGGTTTACACCTCTCAATCATCATTGGCATATCCTCAGGAGGTTTAATTTCCGTCTCTGGTACCCAAGTAGCATCCTCAATCGGCCAGCCAAGCCACAAGATAAGAAACTCACGAGTCCTCCTATTTCCTATCCGAACATATCACCACCGGAGCAACTTTTCTATTTTGTACTCATCGTCCGCCATCTAAATTTCCGGAACAGGAGCCTGCTCACGCTGATCCCAATCACTGTCACGCCATGCCTTGAGTAGGCTCACATGAAACACGTCGTGGATACGCCAGTCATCAGGAAGCTGCAGTCGGTAGGACTGGGTACCAATCCGTTCGATGACATGGAAGGGCCCCACAAAGCATCTCCGCAGTTCTGCCGGTGTTCCACGCATCCGAAGTTTTGTAGTGGACAACAGAACAAGCTGATGCACTGCGTAGGTCTCAGGGCAGTGACAACGATCATAATATTTCTTGTGTTGCTCGTTTGCCCGGTGGAGATTGTTCCGCGCCTTGGTGAAAGTCCGATGCAGGCGCTGAGCGAAGCTAGTCACTGTCTCAACAGGAGAACTGTCAGTCCCTCTGATCAACTCATTAGAAGTCATTGGGTGGTATCCATAATTCAAAAAGAAAGGCATGTACCCTGTGCTCCTATTTGGCTGGCTATTCACACTAAATTCAACAATGGGTGCCAATGAATCCCAATCACAAGGTTCTCCCAATTCCTGCACAGTACAATGCAGAGTTTGTTCAAAGATTGCGTTCATTCTTTCTACCAACCTTTGAGTCTGTGGGTGGTAGGCACTGTTGAATCTCAAGTCAGAACCAACCATTTTCCAAAGACTTCGCCAAAAGGCGCTAGTGAATCTGCGATCACGATCAGAGTACAGTGCCTTAGGCAATCCATGAAGTTTTCCCATATGTTGCTAATACAAAAATGCAGTTTTAGATGCTGAAATTTCTTCCTTGCAGGGTACAAAATGCACCATCTTTGTGGCCCTGACGACCACTGTAAGCACAACATCGTTACCACATTGAGTTGTAGGCAGCTTCGTAATAAAGTCCAAAGTCACCTCTGTCCACTTTTGCTCAGGTACTCTCAACGGTTGTAATTCGCCACATGGACGTTGATGCTCAGATTTCTCCAACTGACAGACTGCGCACGATAGGACATACTCTCTAATATCACCTGCCATCCCTCTCTAATACAAACTTCTCTTGGCAGTGTGTAATGTCCTCAGATAACCTGGCTGTCCAGTATAGGGAACATCATGGAGTTCCTGGAGTAGCAACTTCTTGATCTCATGGTGGTCTGGTACCACAATTTTCCAATACTGGTCTTCATCACTGAAGTCGTTGCGATGGACAACCAGCGAGTGGTGTTTCACCCTATGATGCAGGGAGCTTCGTTGCTCCCGCGGGCGCACAGGTCGGATGAAACGGGGAGTCAACCGGACCCCCGGGGCATGACATTAAAAAGCTTTGATTGTACATCATATAAATTGTCCGTTTGATTGTCCTTTGCACCCGAGTGTTCCACAACTCAACCCTTAGGTTACTATTAATTAAATATTCCTATTTAGTACATCTCCTAAGCAACCATATCAATTCTCCCCCCCCCCACCAAGTGTGGTCATCCTCGGCCACTAGACTAGCGACACAGAAAACCAGCAAGAAAGAAGGTACGGCGTACCAACAGAGCCCCACTATGAGTCAAACTAACCATGTCCCATACCATGATCTAACTCAGAAGGAAATCTGCTTTCCGAGGTCCACGCGGTCCATCACTTCTTTCGTCCACTATGTCTGGTCTTCGTGATTGCTTCATGTCGCTGTAGTCTGAGGAGGTATTCTGCAACGAGGTCCTTGCAGTGACTGAGGTTGGCCTCTAGCTCCCAGGTAGCCTCATGTAGCTCATAGCTTTTCCAGGCCACTACATACTGTCTTCTGGAAGTACTGCCCCTGTGACGAATAATAGCTTCCACCTCAAACTCCTGCTCGCCCTCTACTTCTAGTGACACTGGGGGTGAACTGACGTTGCGTCTGAACTCCTCACTGCGCTCAAATTTCTTTAGCTTCTCCACATGAAAGGTCGGGTGGATGCACCAGCTGGAAGGTAGCTCGAGGGTGTATGCAACTGGGGAAACAATCTTCACCACCTTAAAAGGTCCAAGGTAACGCCACCTGATCTTTGTCGGGATGTGCTTGAAGGTTGTGGAGGGCAAGAATGTTGTCCGCACCACAACTTCATCTTCTGTCTGAAACTGAACATCACGACGACGTTTGTTGGCAGTTGTAATCATCCTCTCCTGTGCTCTCTCATACTGTCTTACAGCACTGGATAATACCTTCTGCATTCTACTGACCATCACATCCACTGACTCCACTCTCGTGTCAACGGACTTCTCGGCCATGAGTCCCACTGGAGCCTGAACATGTTGCCCATACATCAAATAAAATGGGCTATAGCCGGTCGATACGTTGATAGCATTTTTCACCGCAAATTCTGCCAGAGGAAGGTAGGTGCTCCACTCCTCCGGATGCTCTTCAACGTACGGCCTCAAAAAATTCTCCAATGTGCATATGGAGACCTCGGACTGGCCATCTGTCTCCGGATGGTACGCGGTGGACATGCACAAGTTGGTGCCAAGAAGTCGAAATAGCTCCTGCCAGAAACGACTGAGAAACCTAGGGTCTTTGTCACTGATAATCGCACGAGGTATACCTGAAATCCTAAAGACATGATCAAAGAACAACCTCGCGTAACAATAGCATTCAGCTCTTTCTGGCAAGGAACAAAAATGACAAACTTGGTGAGTCGATCGACGAACACTGCAACAGCTGAAAATCCATGTGATTTAGGCAAATCAGTTACCAAGTCAGTGGTAATCTGCTCCCACTTAGCTGTAGGAATTGGGATTGTCTGCCGAAGTCCTTTTGGTGCCTGGTTCTCTGACTTGAACATTTGACACTTTGGACAGGTCTTGATGTATTCCTTCACTGACTGACGAATGCCTTTCCACCAGTAAACACGCTGCAACATCTCCAGAGTCCTCTCAACACCCAAGTGTCCGGCTGTAGGTACATCATGGTGCTCTTCAAGAATATGTTGTTGTTGACTGGTGGGAACCACAATCCTGCGCTCGCTCCCGGCTGCCTGGTAATACAAAACTCCTGACTGATCTAATGAGTAACCCCGCATTGGTTGTCCCATATGAAGCTTCACCATCACATCACGAGTTCCAGCATCTGTGTTCAGCGAATGAAGCCATGCCTCTTTCTCTGATTCCTCAACACATGGTATTGTTGCAGACTGAACTTTGGCAACCGAGTCAGGATGGTTCTGAACTGTATAACTACG